TTGTTTTTTGTTTTTGTTTTATCCTCAGGAATTCTTTGGCTATCATTGTGTGTGTGTGTGTGTGTGTGTGTGTGTGTGTGTGGTTCCATACAAACCTGATGATTTCTCATTATATTTATTTTAAAAATGACATTGGGATTTCTATGGGAATTGTTCTTAATCTCTTAATTGCATGTTTCATTTCCAGGAATTCTGATTGGTTCCTTTTTAAAGTTTCAACCTCTTTTGTAAAGTACTTGTTTTGTTTTCTGAGTGCATTGACTTACCTGTCTATATTTTCTTGCATCTTGTTGAGTATTTTTCAGAACTACAATCTTGAAATCTGTTGTTTATATCACATATTTCTATGTGTACCAGCTTGGTTTCTGGGGATTTTTCATTTTCTTTCTGATCATCTTTGCTCTTCTCCTTTGTCTACCCTGTTTCCCCGAAAATAAGACAGTATCTTATATTAATTTTTTCTCCCAAAGTTGCGGTAGGTCTTATTTTCGGAGGATGTCTTATTTTCGGGGAAACACGGTAGGCATGTATATCAGTCTATATTAATGGTCATACATTGCAGCTTCCTCTGAAGAGGTCTTTCTACTATTTTCCAGTAGGTGGTGCTGAATTGCAAGATTTATTTGCCTCTGTGACTTCTCAGACTCCCTGGCTTCCCCAGAACAGGAAAGCCACCCTTCTCGGGGGGGTGGGGTTTGTTTTAGCTTCACTACAAAGGCAGGCCCTGACCTCCATGGGTCCCGCTTCAAGCACCCCACCTGGGCTCAGTCACAGAGGGAAACGGTGGTTCTACTGCAACAACTCTTGGTTTGCAGACAGTGTGCTCCTTGGGCTACTGGAGGTGAATTTTGGGAGTCCAAGTGGTGGCAGGGCTCTGTGGTTGCATTTCTTGCCTGAAACACCACCGCTCAGCCCATGTGGCCATGCACCACCTAATACATTTGGTCAATGGCAGACGGCATATACAATGGTGGTCCACATGGTAGAGCCCTGTGCTCTGTCAGATGTCTGCTGGCTCAGTCACTGTTAGTTCCACCTGCCCTGCCGGACAGCCCCTACCCCACAACTCTCTGCGCCTCCTGTTTGAAGGAAGTGCCTGCTCCCACTGCTTCCTCCACTCTCCAGGCCACGCCAGGAGCTCCTGGCGACAGGGCTGCACCTGTGGGCTAGCTACACTCTCCTCCCTTCTCGTCTTCCCTTTTACGTCTTCCTGGTTGCATGTTTAATGCGCAGTTCTCTCGGGCATGCTTTTGTGTTGAGTAGGGAATTCTTCGTTGAATTATAGTTGATTCACTTGCTGACATTTCAGGGGTAAAGGCCAAGGGGCTCTCTCAGGCCACCATTCCTCTGACCTGCTTTTATAAACTTAATTTTTTTTTCTCATTTCCACTTGTTTACTACTACAGTCATGCATCACTCAACTATAAGAAATGCACCGTAAGCAATGTTGTTGTACAAACATCATAGAGTGCACTTACACAAACCTATGTGGTATAGCCCACTACATGCCTCGGACATATGGTATGTACAGCTTATCACTCCTAGGCTTCAAGCCTACACAGCATGCTACTGCACTGAATAGTGTGGATAGTGGTAATGTGTTGCACTGTGATGTTACAGTGGCTATAACCTCACTAGGTGGTAGGGATTTCTCAGCTCCATTATAAGCTAGGTGGGACCACCATTGTATGTGCTGTCTGCCATTGACCAAATGTGCATGGCCACATGGTCATACGTGGTGCAGGACAGTGGATTTCTGTATGTTGGTCTTGAATCTTATAATTTTGCTGGACTCTCTTGTTAATTGTAATAGCTTTTTTTGGTTGATTCTACATAGAAAACCATGTTATCTGTAAATAAGGACAGTTTTATTTCTTCCTTTCCAACATTATGTCTGTATTTCTCTCTCTGCACTGCCTTGAACTCCCAGGCGGTGTGGAGGAGGAGTGGTAGAAGTGAGCACTCTTGCCACGGGATTCCTTCCGAACAATGACTTCCAGACTGTTTCAGGAAGAGCGTAGAGGAGCTAGAGTTACTGAGAAGCTGAAAAGACAGAGGAACCCTCTTTGCCCACCACTTCCCATCCTTCCAGCCACCACTCAGTCACTCCTCTCCACCCACATGTGGCTCCCAGCCCACCTGTGGCTCTTCTGCTCAGCCCTTCCTCATTAACCCCATGTGGTCTGCCTGTTTTCTCTCCCAAGCTTCAGTCCATCATTTCAGCCTCTTTGGGGGCAGCATTCTCCCGTCCTACTCCTGTGGCTCCCCTTCCTCCACTGCTCAGAACGCTCCCTCTACGCCCCCCATCCAGGATCGTCAGCCTAAGAAACCTAAACGTGGTTTGCGCTCTGTGACTCACCAGGCAGGGCTCCTTCCCATTACCTGCAGGCCCCATTCCTGTGACACACCCTGCTCCGTGCTTAATGGCAAGGGCTCTGGAGCCAGAGTACATAAACTCAAACCACAGGCTCTCTAACCTGCCAGCAGGGAGATGGTGGGTATATTACTTAGCTGCCTGGTGCCTCATGGGTTAATACGCATAAGACACAGAACTGTGGCTGGGACAGTGCTGTACACGCTGGTATCATTGTCACCACTCCTTCCCATCACCGCTTACACATGTTCACGTCTCTCTCATCTTAAAAAGCAAAGCAAAACCCTCCCTTAACATCACAGGCGCTCACTCCACCTGCCATACTCTCCCCTCCAGCTCAGCCCTATGTCCTGGAAGAGTTGTTGGCGCTCATTGGTGCCATTTTTCCGCTGTCCTTGGCCCACCTCTTAGCATCACACTGATGCTGCACTCTGCACGTGGCCAGAGCTGACAGGCAGCCCTCAGACTAAATCTTTCCAGACCCCACACGGCAGCACTTGCAACTGCACACACCTGCAGTGGCCCCTCCCCAGCCTCTCGGGCCCAGCTGCCGCTCTGTCTGTGACTTGCAGTCTCGACCTGTGCCTGCTCTTCCACCAGCACCGCGCCTGAAACATTGCTGAGGCCCCAAAATATTTATGAATAGATGAGAGAACCTACAAGCAAAGGGATTAACAGTGCTTTGGAAGAGAAGGCGAGAGATGGGGAAAGGCCTGATGCCCCCCCGGGGGATGGGGAGAGAGCCCAGGCAGCAGGGAGCTGGGCAAGAAATGGGGTGAAGAGACACTTGGTGTGGTCCCGGGGACTGTAAGGGCATTTGAAACATGGGGTTGGAGCAGGAGACCCAGGTCTGGAGCCAGTGAGAAAGGACAGTTTGGAAACTTCAGAGCTGTTGCCTTCCATTCACATCTCAGAGGGTCCTCTATGGAGAGAGAGAGGAAGGTAGTCTGCTTTATTAATCAGTTCTTATGAATTTATTAAATAATATCATTCCTTTAAGTATTGAACCACAGACATTTTCCTACAGTTCATATGCATCTAATAAATCAACATTTATCTACACTAATAAAAGACTAAGATGCAAATTGACCATACCTTCAGGACGCCCACCAGCCCATCAGGAGCGCGTATGCAAATTAACGCGACAAAGATGGCAGGTTAATTTGCAAACACAGGCACTAAGCAGCTGGGGCGGGATGCTTGCATCTTCGCCATGGCGATGACACAAGCTTCTGCAATGCCCCAGCCACTCCAGGCCTCTGGGCAGCGTGGGAAGGCAGAAAGGTGGCTCCAGACCGGAGTGAAGATGGTGCCGGCAGCCAGGGGAAGGAAGGCCCACTGTTCACGAATCTTCATGAATCAGGCCTCTAGTTTCTCTATAATTCTGATTGTAAAGTTGATCAAGCTCTTTGAGCCATTTAATTAAAACTGTGAATAGAAAGCCAATCTCCCTCCAATGCTTTAAGCATCTTTAAGTAGGCAGAACTCAAAGTATCTCAGTGGTTAGTGCTGCTCTTTGGAGCCGTCTTGATTTTTCCTACCCCAGGCGTCAGCTGCCCTGCATGCAATCCTGTTTCCTTTGGGTGGAGAAGACCGTGGAAGATCAAAGTCTTAGTAACAGGGACGGGGTTAGGCTAGCTGGTGTGGGCAGAGCTCTGGTTATGACAAACATTTTAGCTAAGGCTCTTGAAGTCTGAGTGAGACTTGGCTTATGCTGGGGAGTAAGATGAGGCTCAGGAGGCCCAAGGCTCATGGATGGAGGGAGGGGCAGGGAGGAAGAGAACCTGGTCAAGAGTGCGCAGGGGTGGACTTGACCTTTCCTGCGCTGGGTGCTCAGACCTTCAGCCCAGGCGTTCCAGGGCCGTGTGGTTTTGGTCAGGGAAATAGGATAGGGCTCCATACAACGCCCATCCAGACAGTGAAATTCAGTGAAACCACACGTTTAGAAAAACAAAACAAAACACACACAAAAAAGAGAGGTGAGCCGAGACCAGTTTGGCTCAATGGATAGAGCGTCGGCCTGCAGACTGAAAGGTCCCAGGTTTGATTCCAGTCAAGGGCATGTACTGTGGTTGCAGGCACATCCCCAGTAGGAGGTGTGCAGGAGGCAGCTGATTGATGTCTCTCTCTCTCATTGATGTTTCTAAGTCTCTATCCCTCTCCTTTCTTCTCTGTAAAAAAAAAAAAATCAATAAAATATCTTTTTAAAAAACAATGAGAGGTGAGAAAGCAGAGAAGTGGGGAGCAGGATGGATGTGTATGGAACTGTCTTTGGAGCAGTTTGTCAGCCAGCGGCAGGTTTGAACGTCTACCTGGAAGGACGTAGAAGGAGAATGTGTGTGGCCGAAGGAGGCAGAGGCGGGCAGATGCTGCCGAAGGGGGTCCAGGGGATGGGAAGGATCCCTGAGAAGGCAGGCGAGGCGGGGCAGTGCCAGGGTCGCCTGGAGAGGGCAACTCAGAGTTGGGCAGGGGAGGCCTCAGCTCACTCTTGGGCCTCGCTGCCCTCTGAGTTTGCAGCAGCCCCGGGCTGGGCTGGGCTGACAGGCTCAGGGAGGGAGGGCCAGAGGGGGTGGTCTGCCCAGTCCGCTGGCTCTGAGCTCCTCTTCCTATCTTCACCCCTCTCCAGTGCCGCTACCTGTGTGGATACAACCCCTTTGACCAGGGCTGCGCCAGCAACTGGTATTTAGCAATCTGTGCACCGCTGGGACCCAAGTAAGTTAGCAAACCGGAGGTCCAAGCAGTGGCACATGGGGCTGGTAGGGTGAGGGGGACTCTGGGTCATCTCTCCCAGCCGGCCCCTTAGCACCGCTCCCAGACCCTCCAGCTCTGTTCTCTGAGGTTTCTCTCAGGGCACTGTGGAGCCCTGGCGCCTCCCTGCTTCCTTGCATTCTTGTCCTAAGAAATGGAGGGGAGGGACCCCACCAGCCGCCGGACAAGACCGGCCCCAGCTCCCTGCAGGGCCAGCCCTGGGCTGTGCTCCCTATGCTGAGGAGGCAGGGACCAGCCAGGGGGCCACCACCCCTTGCGCTGGGCTTGTTGCTCCCCAGGTACATGGCCAAGGCTGTCTTGCTGCAGAGAGTGGTGGAGCCGGACGAGGCCCTCTCGCAGAACTTGCATTGCCCAGCCTGCCCCTGGGCACTCGGCCCCGCAGCCGCAGCCGCCCCTGGGCCTGCCTCCGGCCAGCAGCCCCCACCTCCGGCTCTCCACAGGCCGGGAACGGCTCCCCCGGGGCGCGGGGAGGCTGCAGCCCCCCAGGAGGTGAGTGAGTGTGTGTGTGTGTGTGTGTGTGTGTGTGTGTGCTGGGAGAGGGGTGTGTGTGTGTGTGTGTGTGTGTGTGTGCTGGGAGAGGGGTGTGTGTGTGTGTGTGTGTGTGTGTGTGTGTGCTGGGAGAGGGTGTGTGTGTGTGTGCTGGGAGAGGGGTGTGTGTGTGTGTGTGTGTGTGTGTGTGCTGGGAGAGGGTGTGTGTGTGTGTGTGTGTGTGCTGGGAGAGGGGTGTGTGTGTGTGTGTGTGTGTGTGCTGGGAGAGGGGTGTGTGTGTGTGTGTGTGTGTGTGTGTGCTGGGAGAGGGTGTGTGTGTGTGTGTGTGTGTGTGCTGGGAGAGGGGTGTGTGTGTGTGTGTGTGTGTGTGTGCTGGGAGAGGGGTGTGTGTGTGTGTGTGCTGGGAGAGGGGTGTGTGTGTGTGTGCTGGGAGAGGGTGTGTGTGTGTGTGTGTGTGCTGGGAGAGGGTGTGTGTGTGTGTGTGTGTGTGCTGGGAGAGGGGTGTGTGTGTGTGTGTGTGTGCTGGGAGAGGGTGTGTGTGTGTGTGTGTGTGTGTGCTGGGAGAGGGTGTGTGTGTGTGTGTGTGTGTGTGTGCTGGGAGAGGGGTGTGTGTGTGTGTGTGTGTGTGTGTGCTGGGAGAGGGGTGTGTGTGTGTGTGTGTGTGTGTGTGTGTGCTGGGAGGGGTGTGTGTGTGTGTGTGTGTGTGTGCTGGGAGAGGGTGTGTGTGTGTGTGTCTGTGTGTGCTGGGAGAGGGTGTGTGTGTGTGTGTGTGTGCTGGGAGAGGGTGTGTGTGTGTGTGTGTGTGCTGGGAGAGGGTGTGTGTGTGTGTGTGTGTGCTGGGAGAGGGTGTGTGTGTGTGTGTGTGTGCTGGGAGAGGGTGTGTGTGTGTGTGTGTGTGCTGGGAGAGGGTGTGTGTGTGTGTGTGTGTGTGTGCTGGGAGAGGGGTGTGTGTGTGTGTGTGTGTGTGCTGGGAGAGGGTGTGTGTGTGTGTTTGTGTGTGTGCTGGGAGAGGGTGTGTGTGTGTGTGTGTGTGCTGGGAGAGGGTGTGTGTGTGTGTGTGTGTGCTGGGAGAGGGTGTGTGTGTGTGTGTGTGTGCTGGGAGAGGGTGTGTGTGTGTGTGTGTGTGTGTGTGCTGGGAGAGGGTGTGTGTGTGTGTGTGTGTGCTGGGAGAGGGTGTGTGTGTGTGTGTGTGTGCTGGGAGAGGGTGTGTGTGTGTGTGTGTGTGCTGGGAGAGGGTGTGTGTGTGTGTGTGTGTGCTGGGAGAGGGGGTGTGTGTGTGTGTGTGTGTGCTGGGAGAGGGTGTGTGTGTGTGTGTGTGTGTGTGTGTGCTGGGAGGGGTGTGTGTGTGTGTGTGTGTGTGTGTGCTGGGAGAGGGGTGTGTGTGTGTGTGTGTGTGTGTGTGTGCTGGGAGAGGGGTGTGTGTGTGTGTGTGTGTGTGTGCTGGGAGAGGGTGTGTGTGTGTGTGTGTGTGTGTGCTGGGAGAGGGGTGTGTGTGTGTGTGTGTGTGTGTGTGTGTGTGCTGGGAGAGGGTGTGTGTGTGTGTGTGTGTGTGTGTGTGTGCTGGGAGAGGGTGTGTGTGTGTGTGTGTGTGTGTGCTGGGAGAGGGGTGTGTGTGTGTGTGTGTGTGTGTGTGTGCTGGGAGAGGGTGTGTGTGTGTGTGTGTGTGTGTGTGCTGGGAGAGGGGTGTGTGTGTGTGTGTGTGTGTGTGTGTGTGTGCTGGGAGAGGGTGTGTGTGTGTGTGTGTGTGTGTGTGTGCTGGGAGAGGGTGTGTGTGTGTGTGTGTGTGTGTGCTGGGAGAGGGGTGTGTGTGTGTGTGTGTGTGTGTGTGTGTGTGCTGGGAGAGGGGTGTGTGTGTGTGTGTGTGTGTGTGTGTGTGTGCTGGGAGAGGGTGTGTGTGTGTGTGTGTGTGTGTGTGTGCTGGGAGAGGGGTGTGTGTGTGTGTGTGTGTGTGTGTGTGTGTGCTGGGAGAGGGTGTGTGTGTGTGTGTGTGTGTGTGTGTGTGTGCTGGGAGAGGGTGTGTGTGTGTGTGTGTGTGTGTGTGCTGGGAGAGGGGTGTGTGTGTGTGTGTGTGTGTGTGTGTGTGTGCTGGGAGAGGGTGTGTGTGTGTGTGTGTGTGTGTGTGTGCTGGGAGAGGGTGTGTGTGTGTGTGTGTGTGTGTGCTGGGAGAGGGTGTGTGTGTGTGTGTGTGCTGGGAGAGGGTGTGTGTGTGTGTGTGTGTGTGTGTGTGTGCTGGGAGAGGGGTGCCTCCGGACTGTACAGGTGCAGGGAGGGGGGCGGGGGAGCCCCCATCCCCCTGCTGGGCTGGCAGTGGAGCTAGAGCCCTCGGAGCCACAGCCCCACCCCCTGTAACACCAGGGGCTCCTGGAGACACACAGCCGCCCCACTCCCGTGCTGGGGAGTCTGGGGCAGTCACTCAGCCTTCCGGAGCCTCAGTTTCCCCAGCTGTAATGAGGACTGGAACCAGCCCAGGGGCTTGCCAGTTAGGGGTCCGTTCCCTTTACTTAAAGTCATGTTTTCCTCTGAAGCCCAGTGGATGAAACCTCTGGAGGGGAGGCCCAGGAGTGCACCGGGGCTGCCGGGCCCTTCCAGGCTGCCGGCCCACTCCCTTTGCTCAGTCCCTGGGGCGGGGAGAATGCGGGGGACAGTTTCCGGCTCCCCCGCAAGGCCCCGGGCGGCGGGGGCGGGGAGGAGACCCCCACGCCCGCCGTTCAGCTCCCCGCAGGCCCAGCGCTGCTCCGGCCCCGGGAGGCCCCCCGATGAGGCTGCGCCTGCTGCCGCGATGCCGCAGTCCCCGCCCGGACCTCACCCCCTGGGCCCCGCCTCCCTCCCCCAAGCCCATTAAACTCCCCTTTCCTGCTGTGCAGTGGCTCTGCGGTGTGTGTCCTGGGTGTGAGGGGCAAAGCCCCCGGGAGGGGGGAGGGAGGTCCAGCACCATTGGCTCTGTGATCTTGGGCAAGACACTCGGATTTCTCCTTAAGATGGGGTGACCGGCCGAGACCGGTTTGGCTCAGTGGATAGAGCGTTGGCCTGCGGACTGAAAGGTCCCAGGTTCGATTCCCGTCAAGGGCATGCACCTTGGTTGCGGGCACTGATGGATGTTTCTCTCTCATCGATGTTTCTAACTCTCTATCCCTCTCTCTTCCTCTCTGTAAAAAAAGCAATAAAATATATTTTTTTAAAAAGAGAAAAAAAAGAAAGAAGATGAGGGAAATGACATTGTAGAGGCAAAATAACAGAGAGAGAGAGAGAGAGAGAGAGAGAGAGAGAGAGAGAGAGAGAGAGAGAGAGAGAGAGAGAGAGAGAGAGAGAGAGAGAGAGAGAGATGGGGCGACCCTAAAAGCCTCAGAAGCTGTCCTGGCGCCTCCCTGCGGGGCTGTCAGGGCTGTCAGCCTCGGGCAGGATCGGGGCCCCGCCCTGCCACCCCGCGGTCTGGCTGCAGGGGGCGCTCGCCGCCTGGGAATTCGCCAAGCCTGGCCTGGTCCAACCTGAGGCGCTGGAGCCGCCTGGGTGGGCTGGGGCTGCCCCCCCCCCCCCCCCCCCGCCTCTTCCCTGGAGGTGCCGAGTGGGGTCTTCTCCCTAGTCCAGCCCTGCTGCTTTCCTGCTGTGGGTCCCACTGGGTCCCTGCCTGCTGGCTAGTCAGGTCCTGTTCTGGGGAGGGCCTGTGAGTCTGCAGCCCCTTACGGGGTGGTGTATGCGGGAATATACAGGCAACTGCCGCTCCCCTTGGACATAAGGGCTCCTTCCTGAAAGGTGGTCAGGGGCTGGCGTGGGTGAGGCGGTTCATGGAGACAGGCGGCACCCAGCAGGCACACAAGAACGCAGCAGTATGGTTATTTTCTCCACCGCACGGCTAACAACACCCCGAGTTTCTCCAAAGACCCCCTTCGCAGATTTACCCGGGCCCCCAGGCCGCCGACCCAGAATTCTGGGGTGGGTGGCAGGGTGAGAATTTGAATCGGAATTTTTAGCAAGTGCCCACGTGATCCTGCCATCGGGAATTCCAGGACCGCGGCCTTAGGAGGAGAGGATGGGGAGCAGCCACACGGCTTCCCTCGGAGCCGGTGGAGACGGGATGTGGTGAAGGGGAGGCGGTCAGATTGCACCAGGGGGCCCGTGGAGGTGCCTGTGCCTGTGTGCGCCTGACATGTGTGTGTACGTGTGTGTGTGTCGGGGGGGAGGGCAGGAGCTCATTCTCAGGTGACCTACGGTGCAGGGCGCGCTCCAGTGCCCACATGCGGGCTCCGAGAGGCGGCCTTTCCCTCCTCCCACTCCCCTGGCTGCGGCCCCAGGGCCCTTCCCCGGCCTCCCCAGCCACTCGCTCTGGCTCTGGCTCTGCAGGCTCCTGCCAGCCTTGTGCAATCCCAGCCGTTCCAGCTATTTCTCATCGCCTTTGCCCTGGTCCCAGTGTCTTCCAGACCCCATTCTCCCTTGGGGTTCATGCCTTTTCTTAGCTCTCAGCTCTGCTTAACTCAGCACTGTCCTTGGCTTCCGGGGAGGGTGCAGAGTGCTGCTCCCGTGAACAGAAGGGCAGCCGGTGTGAGCCATGCTGTAAGAGCTCAGGTGGCCGCGGGTAAAATGCCCGGAGCCCGCATGTACAGGCACAGCTGACGCAGCCCCAGGCCGCCCGGGAGGCCCGCTGCCCATGGTCACATGACCGAGGAAGGAAGGTACGAGGCCTTTTCGGCCCCAGGGCCTGAGTGTGCATGTAAAACACGGGTCTGTAGGAGTCTCTTGTCTGTGTTCAGGGGCACAGCCCAGCCCAGGCTGGTGAAACGGGGCCCCCACTGAGCTCTCAGGCCCAGTCCTGAACGAGAGTCCCTGGGGCGGCCTGGGCCTCAGGAACCTGGGCCACGGCCTGGAAGGGGGGTATTGATGGAACCAGCTGGTTCGGGAGTGGCATCGACCTGGATCCCTGCTGTGCAGGGGGCTGAGAAGGCCAGGCCCCAGGCCTCGTCCTGCCCTGCCCACCCCTCACTGTCCTGGCTGGTTCAGAGCTGGGTGGCTGGTC